TTTAGAAACAATCGTCTTTGCATATTATTTAAATTACTTAAACTTATACATGGAGCAATACATAAAACATGGAGTATATAATTCGCAAAATTTGAAGTGAAACTTCTTTAAGCCCGGTGGCAGGCCAGGTGGCGTAAATAAAATGTCACGAAAATAGTGAAACGCTAAGAGGGGAATGAGTGGAGAGTTCTCCACTCCTTATATACGCCCGATAGATGTCGGAGCACGGCCGGGGCAACTCATAAAACGCTGGGAGGGGAATTATTACTCAATATATAAGTGCGGTGTCTGATGATAATTTCCTTTTTGTTACCACAATTTTCCAAGAAAAATGATCAATTGACCTACATTTACCAAATAAGTTACGAATTATGTAAGGTGATCATGGTACAGGCAAGGAACAGTTAAAGCAAAGTTTGCTATTTCACCGACATGCTAAGTATAAGCAACATTAGTGGTTTTCCCAACTTAATTATAATTAATCTTAAAATTTATGTAGGCTCTTCAATTAAGAACACAATATGGGAACATCCCCGCAACTTCGCTTACTTGCACAGTAGAGGAAATTTCTATAAACTAGGAAAGATGTCAATGTTTGAATACAATCTTTGTCGACGACTGTCTGTATACCACAGAGTAATTTCGAATCGGTAATATTAAAGTGCAAACTTAGGTAAATAATAGGGAACCTCTCTTCAACTTCGTTTAGGAATTTTTCATTTCAGATTGTTTCCGATTGAGTTTACTGCAATTTGCCCTTTCTAGTAATACTCCGTTTCAAATTTCGATGATGTTTTACTATGTGTGCTTTTAACTGTAAGCTATTGAAGTTTGAATCTCAAAGTATTTCCTTGTTGACTTTTATATGGTGCTACGAGTATTTTCCCCCGATATACGTATTGTACGTCCTCCCTTGGATGGCGTTTTTGCATCCTTTCAAATATTTTTGATTTTATTGTAATCACTCAACGTTCCACTTTGAGTGAGTACGGATAAGTAGCTTCTGTTCGAGTGGCATGAAATAAAATTACTTAAAGTCAGGTACAACCGTTGCAACTTTTGCGACATAAATGTAAATGAATTTCATTATCATTTTGATGTGCACTTTTAAAGTGCCTCAGCATCTTATGCTTTTGTACTATCCTGACAAAAATGTTAAAAGTATATTCTCTTGAAACACTCTTTTCGTGGCTTGCTTGTAAATGAATACGCGTTCACTACTATAGCTAATTAAACAGATGAAGATACAGTTGGGTGTTTAAAATTAAATTGAAAACATTATACTTTACGTGATAACGATAAAATAATCCGAAACGGTGAGTGTCCATACCTCCTAAATGACGTTGATACTCAGATATATACCACATTAAATATCCTACGCAGTGCTTTCAACCAAACGTCTCCTTTAAGCGTTGAAACGGTATGGGTATAATAAGGAAAACGACGACATTAAAACTTTGACTAAATTTTGTTGGTACAGATTTCAATTTAAAACTCCACCTTATTTCAAAGAACAGGAAAACAAAATATTTCATGAAAACTCCTTTCCTCCTTGGATATGTAAACTAGATTTCACGGACAATTTCCGAAGTTCGGCTTTTTGTTTGGGATTTATACTTTCTCAGACTGTATTCAGAGAAACTAACTTAAAAGTAGAAAAGTCCGCTACCTAGTTACGTAGGTACATTAGGGTATAATGCTAATTTGAGTGTATTTAAATTTTATTATTAAATAAAAGCTGATGGTTTATACAGGATTGTCATTATTTCGCTTTGTCTGCTTACAAATGAAGGTTGACATTACGCTTCGTGCAATTTATAGCAAAAACTTTCAGCAAAGAAATACAGCTCGCAATACAGATTAAAGCATTTTCGTGTTTCATACTAAGGCATTGTTCTGGAAACAATAAATACGTACACGGCATCAATAGAAAATACGAGGGCGTTTTTTCCTAGGACGTATCAAGCCATTAAAATGACGTGATACAAAAATCATGTAAGTTGTCTTATGGGCGCTACAAGTAAATAAACTGGTTGTTTCCACACTTGGGTACGTGCAGTTAACAAACGCAATTGTGTAAATAGTGATGGTATAGACAACCACACGTTTAAAGGGTTGTGGGTTGTGCTACAAGAATCATAGCAGACTTTAACATTCATTTTGTTGTACTTTTCCCAACAGAAATGTACAAATGAGGGCGCGAACTCATTATTATTTTGAAGGTTGGAGGCTGAATTCAAAATTGTCTGTCACGGTAATTAGAACATTAACCTTGAGAATCAAAATGTTTTCCTCCCACTATAGAATAGTTGTGGCACTTAAAATGTCTTATTTCAAAGAAAACTTAGTCTTGAATGAAATCTGAAGGTTTAAAGGACAATTTTGTAAAAATGCAGTGTTCTAAGATTGAATTGAATAAAACCTACAAATTTTATAACAGACGCTTCTTAATGCGGTTGATCCTTTAAAATGTTTGTAGAGTAGTAAATTGAATTACGTTAGGGTAGCTATGTAGGTAAGGTAGTTCTATTAGATAATTGGTTTTCAAAAACTTGATATTCTAAATTTCCTTTTAAGTCAATAATTCTTCAAATGAGCACTGTATGTCAGTAAGACGAAGACAGGATTTATCATGGAATTTTTCCTTTGGTTTTTTAGTGGTGTGATCAAATTGAGGCAACCAAGCTATATTCGAGGTGGTCATAAAATCGCTAAAGAACATTTTGTATCACTCAATCTTCTATTTCTCTGCTCACCTTGCAAATTCCCTCCTTTAATCGATCCAACCTTCCGTCCCTTACCCCCGAATACACTTTTTTTTTGGTGCAAGATCCGGGGAGCGCGATTTCTTCGACCATCCCATCGAGCTTCAGAATTGTCAGAAGCTTAACAATGATTTATCTACGACTAATATATAATGTATACTAGTATTATGGTTTTTCGGTATAATGCCATATATCCTTAGGGATTAATAGCTCTTACGCCTTCTTGTACTCCAATTACAAAATTTCCTTAAGTGTAATATCATTCCTCGAAGCTGAAGCCATCCCTAGAAATTTAGCATGTTTTCGAAACTAAATCGGTAGAAAGGATAATATCTTGGGGAGATGGGTAAGTGAGGTGTCAACTCTTCCCACTTTTTCACTGTCTCGCTTTTAAGTCTAACTTCGGAGAATGCCTGATATCATTATGATTACCAATTTTAATGTCACTGCGAAAAAACTAACTTTTTTCTATTTTCTCGTACGAGCAGTGTATCAGAAAACTTATTAGATATGTTGTTATGTAGGTAATTGGAAACAATCCAATATAGGGCGATATGTGCGAAAAATGGTGTCGTATAAATCATCTCTAATCCTTGGAACAAAAGTAACCCGTGTACACTAGGTTTTAACTTAAAAGCCTTTTCGAAAAATGAATCTTTGTGTAAATGTAATCTGAAAAGGGGGTCGCCATGAATTTTCTAGTGCAAGTGCCGTTGAAGCTGCTTCATACTCCTGGCATTTAACAGTCGGTATTAAGTGCATTGTAATGCGAAAAGGAATTTACGCTCAAATCTCAAAGTACTCTACATAATGCAAGTTCATCTGGCTTTTCAGATGTATATCTATATTTCTGTCGCTTTTCTTGAAATTAGGTTTTGTAACCGCCGCACGGAAATTTTACGAATGCAAGGTTTCGCTGTTCGGCGAAGCAATTACTAATTAATTCTCGTTTTACCATGAATGACTACTAAAGATTGTTAATGGAAAATATTCGCATTATTTTCCACCTGACAGACACATTCCAATGGAAATAATGGTTTATTTGAAAAATCTTGCGTTACAACCAGGTTAATCTGGGCAATATTAGTTAATATCGGCGTGTTCAGTCGCCGTGATCGACACGGATGCTTAACCGACCCTAAGTCAGTTTTACGTTTGACAGTTTTATTTGGTATCTAGGTAAATTATTGCCTATATGAATGTTGGCAAGAAAACGCGTGTTAAACCAAGATGAAACAAAGAATTAAGTGGTTAGCTTTTCGAGACAAACAATTCACGTATTCATGCTAAACAACTTGTTACACAAATGTGATCCACCAAAATCCTCGCTGAATCTAAGATAAAGAATCCGATGTGCAGTTCTAAATAAAAAATTACAGAAGTTAGAACTTTAGCACTTGACAAACTTATGCGAGGATCGCCAAAAAAACTTAGGCCTGCTTGTTCACACATCAATTAATAAGCCGCAATGGAAAATCTGTCATGTCAACTTTCTTCGCCATTTCATAATGAAAAGAAAAGCTTCGCCTGAGGAATTTGCAGCTAAGTATCTACCCAATTACTGACTAATGTTTCTAAGCCAATTTAATCCTATTCTCCAAGAAAACAGGGGCGTCCTGTGTTAGAAATCAAATTTTTACAAGCATCCACGAAGGAAATAATGTCCAATTTGGAGTTACGTTCCTCTTGTACTTCTTCCGTTGATATTAACTGACATAAACTAAAGATCGTCGCTGTAAACCTTACGGCGACCTTATGTCGATGCATTTTCACAAGGTTTCTACTTGGTTACTTATGTACGTCTGTTTGTGTTTATTAATACTAATGAAAGCAAGGAATTATGAATAATTGCACCTGGGTACCATTCATTAGCTGAGAAACAAACTTTGAAGCAATTATAAAACAACCGCTTTTAGTAGATTAGTGTGTACGAATGCTCGGGGGTGTAATTGGGAAACGTAAAATGTTTTATTTGCATTAAGCGAAATTAGCGTAAGACAATTTTTCACCACGTGCACTACGAAACAAGCTTGTAATTATTAAGTGCGAAGTAATGTCTTTGAAACAAAGGCCGTTGGGTGAAATAAAACGTTGTAACGTATTTAAAGGAGCTTTTATAAGCGTGTAAAGTAAATACGATACATAACAATGTTTCTGATCTGCACTTTTGCGAAATGCGATCCGGAAGCTTCGCTATTAAGTAACATTCGCTTTATCTTTTCTTTCCCATTTCAGGCTCCTCAGAAGTTTATCGAGGAGATGAGAACGTCTGACAATGATGGTTTGCTGTTTCGATCGGTCTCTTTACGCTTCCAAGTAAACCGCAAGTATACGCAGGGGGATACTGACAACATAGAGCTACGTTGTGTGTCAACTTTACCCGGTGTACCCTTTCCGCCGCAAGAAACATCATACACAATATCTTTGAAGATACACAGACCGCAGGTTGTCAGTAACCAGAAACTTCACTGGCTTAATTCGTCGTCGGTGAAACCGTTTCAACACCACTGGATCACACTTTTCCTCGTTACTACAGTAAGATGGTGACTTTATTCTCATTGTTTCTTATTTGTGTAGATTATTTTTTAAATGAAATGCGTTGGAGGATGTTAGTAAACGAATCGCGTATAGTAGAGGAATTTATAGATATAAGTTAGGTGAATTTTATTAACATTGTGGATTACCTCCTTGTGCAGAAATATACGATTTCCTTTGGCGATTCAGTAATCAAGTTGGTAGTAAGCGAATTAGTTGCTCTTAGCAATTAAACTTCAAAGTAACAACGTTGCATCCTAATATGCCTCACCAATTACGTAATTATCAATTTAAAAGAATCGAAAAATTATTGCCAGCTTAAAGACATTCAAGTTACATTGCATTGTGCATCCAAATTTGTCCAAGTTTAGTCATTTTTCTACACGTTAGTCGGGATTTTTCATTAATTGCTATAACAATCAAAATGTTCTTTACAGTTACATTAACCGTATTACATTCTTAGCGCTCTTGGCTTTTCACCAGAAAATTTGAAAAACTGAGAACATCACTGAAACAAAGGAGGCTTGGTGTATCAAAATAATATAGTAAACATTTTTGGAGAGTTTCTCCAATCTCCAATTCTTCAATTACAACCATTTTCAACAGAAGAAAAGTGTACTTGAATGGCATCATATTTTTATTTTCGATTCAACTGGAGGAAAAAAGTTTGATATTGTCATTTGGTATAGTAACAGTTTAAGGAGCGCAAGCGATTTATTTTTTGTGAAGCCAAAGGAATAATATTCAAATTAATTAATACGAGAGTCAGATCTTTATTTGTTGTAAGAAGTTATTTTGGTTTCATAAAATTTATTCCATTCATTTAAAAGTATACATAGGGTAAAACAATACAGTTCCTATCCCTATGTCTTTTTCTTGATAAATATCACTGCATGTAAATACATACCCTTCACTGGGTCTAATTGTTAGACAAGTTTAACTGAAACATGAACCGAATTCGGGAGATGACCGGATTATATCATATCCAAATAAATTAAAGACAGATGCAACGAGAAGAATTCGCAAGATTTCTAAAACTAAACAAAAAGGAGCAGCAGTTTAATTACCCATGACATTACTTTCCAAAGGGAACATGTGCCGATTGGAAAAGCGTGAAATTCACCTTTAACGTATAATAAAATTCATCTAACACTTCGCACAGATATAGGGTTCAAATTCTCATTTCTTTGAAAAGGTTACGATTAATCTCTTGTTACAGGAATTGGCACTGGCACTTAGCAATTGTCTGTAGGGGCGCTATCCACCCTTGAGGTAATAAACATTTACCTATTTAATACTCGCCCAAAAATTTCAAATTTTTGTTCTCTTCAAGAAGTTGCGGTTGATTTTTTTTAATTAGCAGATCGATTGGCATTTAATTAGTGATTGGCTAAAGGGGCGAAATCCGCCCTTGAGGTATAACAACCTTTTTAAAACTCCCAAAAAGAAAGTTCTTAGGGCTTTTAAAAAAAATTAATTCTCAACACTCAAGAATTACCAGAATTGGCTTTCACTTTGATTGTCTAAAGGAGAGAAATCCGCCCTTGAAGTATCAAAAGTTCATTTAGCACACTCACAAAGAAGGTTTCAGATCTTAGTTCTTTTTAAAAAGCTAGTATTCACCTCCTGTATTACCAGAAAAATTGACTTTCACTGAGCGATTATTTAAAGGGAAAAAATCCGCCCTTGAAGTATCAAAAATTCTTTTAACACTCTCACAAAGATGGTTTCAGATTTTAGTTCCTTTAAAAAAGTTTTTCACAGACACACGCTTTCCTTCAAAAATTTCTTCAAAATATTCTTCTCGGTCTTGGAGAAATTTATTACCACAGAACTATAAAGTGCTGGATTCTGTACTGATTTAGTGTAGGTTATGCTGACGCAGAAATTTTTCACTTTGACAGTATTTTCGTTATGTTTCGTCGTTTATTTTCTTGTACTGTCAACGTACCCTTTTTAAATTATTAACTTTGTGTTTGTTATCTTTTTTTGATCGGCAGATACTGTTGGTTTTTGCCTTTTATTGGTTCTCTCTATTTTCAAAATATAGTTATCTAGTACTAGAGTTTTTCTAATTTTTTATTAGCCACCGTTTGTTGGTTGCTTGTGGTTATTCTTTGTCGTTTATCACCAATTTCATTTTTTATCTCCTCGACAAGGCAAAGTTTCAAACTACAATTAGCAATATTATATTGGTAGCTTGATTGATATAGTCTTTCAGAATGAAATATTGTTGAAAAACTAAGGAACATATGAAATTTGAGCCAAAATTGACATAACAGAGAAGACGATAATAGATATATGAAATTCTTCACTAGTAAAGTTTAAACAACAATTTAGGAACATTTGTCCCGCAAGTGAAAAAAAATAGCCAGCAGATATTACTAGCTACTAACTCTACGTGGATACCCCGTCAGGTTGGTGAAAATTAGGTCAATAATAGTTATTTATGTATTAAGGGCATAATAGTGATGTTTATATTCTCGAGGGCGACGAGTTAAAAAGCTCGAGGGCCTATGGCCTAGCTGTGAACAGGGTATGTGCGAAAAGCGCTTAGAGCGATACGTAGGGCAGAGTTTTGAATGATTTTTTGAAACGATGCAGATGAATAAGTGTTACTGAAGCTGAAGATTTTTGAGCAGATCTGCATCAATTAATGATGGGGGTCGGATCGCGCTTTTTTTGGGTTCAGAATTGGGACCACCAAAGCTCTTGACCATATTGCTAGACGCATTCCAGATGCAAAGAGGTAGTTGAATGCCTTAATCAGAAATATTTTAGCAGAGGGTGAGCAGAATGAACGGGAGATCCTCCGAGCCGGGAGTTGAGTTTCGGCATTCAACTAAGAAAATAAAATGAAAGAGGAATATTCCTGGATTCCGTTGTATATGATTTGAAATAAGTTCCCTTCAGTCGTTACACTTTTGTAATGGTATTAATATAAAAAATTAAAAACTGAAATAAAAGGTAGTAGGTTAATTCCCCATTGAGAGGCGAAATAAGGGCGCATTGCCTCCTAGATCCCTTCTCGACCACTAAGTGGTCTTTTTTGCTGAACCAAAACGAAATCACAATATACCTCTAAAGGAAAAATAAACATGATTAAAACAAAATTATGTGCAATTTGATGAATCAAAAAAAAGGCCTAAGGTATTCTTTTGACATTAACAACACGTTGAAAAGATAATTTAAAATCAAATAAAACAAACAAACATTCCAATTTTGCACGTATTGCCATCCCAAGGACATTTTGGGCCACGGAAAAAAGCTAGGACAAAACAAAGGTAAAATTGGAGTAAAACACCAGAGCTCATTCAGGGAAATGGTCCTATCCAGGACAAAAGAAATATACTGACCGAAACATATGTTTGCCACATTTTATATCCTAACTTCAAAACGTCAAAATTTACATATCGTTAGACAAAATTCGGAAAAAAATTCTAAACTTTCTGATTGGATGTGTTACTGATAAGGATAACATTGAAAATACCTTCTGTTTGAATTTCCAAAAATAATGTAGCTACCTGAGAGTACGACATGTACTCATTTCATAGTCCGCCATATATAAACTTTTTATCGTCCCTTGATTGCGAACGGATGAAAGGCACTAGACGATAATGCATCATCTAAACGAACATGGGAGTCAAGGCATCGACGCAGAAGTGAAATAACCCTCTTGCTCCTTACAGAAGACGTTAATTTTGTAGATTTATCACCATACCGTCTGGAAACCGCAAATATTCCTTTATCCAATAGTTTCTGCTTCGAGTGGAGGAATTTTATGTTGATAAAGTTTAAAGTTTTTCCTGCAAACTGTTATTATACGAACAGATAAACGTGACAATGGCCAAAATTAGATTTTCCGTGCACGTTCGCAAGTGCTTTCCAATGGTAAGTGCATTTACTATCAAGCTTCGTGTTATCATTAATGCTCGGATTTTGGCGCAGTTCTCGGCAATCAAAGCGCCACCATTTAATATGCAATAAAAGTCGACAAACAGCAGCGTACCTAACTCTAGATCGTCTGCTTTACTCATTCCTCCGCAATCTGCACGGAAGATTTATTTTTACGCCTCATCTATTTTATCCTTGTCCACGCGTAAAAAAAGCTTTTTTCTAAAATAAAGTGACACTTGCAAATTTTTACCAACTCTAGGATAGATGTTATACATTCGCTGTTTTACTACCAAGAGTTCTTTACGATGTAATTCCAGTAGAGGTCTGCGATTCCACTTCAACTCTCGGGAATTACAAACTTTCAGTGAAAACTTACTTTAAAATTTATATAGATTTTGTAACGTTGACACGTTGTCATGAAAGAGATTTATACTTTCCACTTTTTAGATAAATTATGTAAAATTCGGGCCAATTAGTCACTTTTCCTCTGGAGAAAGTTTTTTTAATAGCATGTTGTTCGGAGAATCTGCTCTGAGACGAGGATCACATCTTAGTAGTTGTTTATAAAGAGAGACGTTTTCTGCATTTGTGAAATAGAGCCTTTATATTAAATAACAAATTATAATTAAAAAACGTCAAATGCAAAGTGAGCCTTAATTCAGATCCGTGCAAACCCGACAGCTTTTTCTAATTAAAAATGGAGTACCTATGCCGCAATAACAAACAAAAATTAAGTGAATCGCCAAATGAATTGGGAAACTCGCCGCTTTGAATTTTCGCGACACATAAACGTTTAATAAAAAATAAAAGCGATTTTATGTCAAACTTTTGCGTAAAGCTCAGTTTAAAATACTCCCGATAAAATATCCGTAGCTGAAACGGTATATAAAATTACTTGTTTATGTATATACGCAACGCAGAAATAACATCAACACCCCTAACATCAAACTAAATTAAAGTTTCTCACAAGGAGGTACGAAACGTTTGTCATTTTTGCATATCTTATTTCAGAAAGTTAAGGCTTACACCTTGTTATTTGAAATTACTTCAAGATACCTACTTAATGAAGTGCTAATTGTGTCTTTGTTCACCACTTACAAAGCGAGGGTAATGTGGCTTCTTTGTACTTTATTTAAAATTTAATGTTTGTAAGATAACAACCGGATTTTAATACAAAGGCGAAAGTTTTGCGCAAAGAAATTTCATGGCGTGTTGATGATGTTAAGCATATGCCTTGTTTAATTTTCACTTTATTGCGTTCAACCTGGGTAAACTTGATGAAAAATGAACCACTTATTGAAATTCCTTTCCAAAAATTCGTGTAACACCGTGATTTACGACAGTACATGTATAAAGTGTGAATATGAGTGCGAATGGACTATATTTAAGTAATAACGAATAATGTAAAAATCGACTTTGGTTTTTCTCAGCCATCCACGTTGTCATAAATCAGCTTTATTGAAAAGCTAGCACTTATAAATGCAGTAACGCACATTTTAGAACGCCTTCAAGGCGCACTTAACTCTGCTTATATTGCGAAATTTTCCAAACAAAAGCCCTTCGATGCTCAATAACAGTAGAAAATCGAGAAAATTACTTTGAGACTGTAGCTTGAGGGTTTTTTGTATACGCCTTTCAATGAAAAATCTTGCCACCTCCTTTGGTGACACTTAGGTATAGGAACTTTGGGGAAGGTCACATATGAAATTAGATTATATAATACTAATTGGCTTCAACAGAGATTAAAAATTGAAAAGGGTACATTATGTTTAAAGAAGATTAATTGAGGTAACGTAACTTCTTCAGAAAATTTTGAATATACTCATTTAACAACGTTATTAAGGCGAAATTGCCCACTTCGCTCACAGTAATAAGGTAGTAAATTGCAAAATTCGTATATTTAAATTCAATATTGTGCTTTGGCCTTAATAATTTCCTCTTAAACATATTTTGAAGCGTGCAATTTATATGTAGCGAAGGAAAACGAACCACAAAACTGAAAAGCAAATTACTCTAAAAAAATGCCTATAAAGTTTATATCAAAGTCTCTCGAGGTACTTACAAAATCAATATTTTGGTAAGTGTTGCATGCACGAAATTGCGCAAAACCAAGTAAATAACAAGTTTTCGTTGTAGTACGCTTCAACAGTTTTCCTCTCAACTTCAAACCTAATTACTTATAGTAAATTAGCGGTAGAAATTTGAAAATGCAAAGTGATTCTTAATGTTATTTCACGAAAATTGGCGCTTAATACTCTTAACACTCGCACGTCAGAACGAAAACTTAATCATTTTCTTTTATTTGAGATTATTTTCTTCGTGCTTCTCCACTAAATTCCCTCCGAGTGATTTTATGCTGTCGAAGTAAAAGTTTAGCAGGTTTGGCTAACTTTTTCTCGCCTTTTGTTCTGTTTCATTGTTTCTGTATAGCTTTATTTGTATTATGTGAGGTTTAACATTTACACTCCGCCAGTTTCTCTGATGCGTCTTCCTTTTTTTGTTAGTTGCCGCAATAATTGACATTTTCTTAACCCTCTAAATTTTATTTTGAAATTGATTTCCTCGCGTTTATCGGGAACTCCATAAATGTCTAAAGTGAAACTTGGGAGATTGTAGAAATGTAACGCTGAAATTTACCTAAGCAGTGTGACTTCACCTGTAAAAGTTTCTAGGGATAAGATTACCATCTGTCTTTCATAGGAAATTGAGTCTCATGGTTGCATTACCCATACTGCATTTTAAAGTGGCATTTTGTCTGAGTGAAAAACGCCAAGATGATTTATTTTAATTCAAATTTTATTTTCCTCGCTTAAATTATAACGAAGGGTTGCGTTACAGAACAAAATTAATTTTAAAGTGGAAAAAATCGGTTGAGTTTTACATGTTTAGCTTTTCCATGAAATTTAATTTTTAAATGCTGCCGTATTTTGTGTTTTTTTCATTTTTTATACTCACCCTGTTTACTTTGTAACAGTATGTACGTAAAAATAATAAGTTGGTTGGTTATAAAAACCGAAGTCGATTTATTCGTGTTAGTAATATGGTAATTAAATGGCTTAAACATAATTTTAAACGTGTTTCCTATATAAAATATGGTTGTGCCAATGAAAAAGTATTCCTGAAATATAGCTCATTTAAAAAAAAGAAAAATTATATGGAAATTTAAGTAACTATCGTTCCGGGAGACCTACTAAGTTGTGATAATAACCATCACAGTTTGTTAATCCTTCCTAGCAATAACTCTAACCTTTGATATAAATGTTAATAGATATAAAAGCGCACGTTTGTATCCATTTAAATTTAACGATGCACTTCTAGGTTGACTGTTACTGTGATGTGTATAAACTAGATGTCACCATTGTACTACCCACAACTCCAATTCCACCTTATTTAAGCGAACACAACAATTATGTGATTTTTCTGAATAAGTTAAGAACCAAACATGTGATTGATTTCTTTCTCAATAAAACTAAACTTGAATATTCGCTTTGGAGTTTTATTTATTTATCTAAGGCTGGCGACGTCGATGCTCATTCTTATTAAGAAATTATTGTAACCGTGGGCAAATTCCCGTATATTTTATTCGTACTTGTCCCGCGATCGTTCGTGACCTAACTCCGAATGGCCTTTTTGATTGCAATTTAAAATTCCTGCTCGATTCCGTTTATAGCCACCTTTAACAATGTTTTTCCGACCTCATACACTGTACGATATGTAATTTACTCCCGTTTTATTAATGCAATAATGGCGAAATTTATTAAAACGCCCGTCAATAAATTCGCAGCAACCTTACCGGAATATAAATGAAGCGTTTCTTTTTCATCGGCGATTGAAAGCCAAAATCGTTGGGAGCTTGTTTAATATTTCATGTTTTCCCCCAGGATTAAGGGAATGAACAATGCACAACGACGCAGACTAAAAACATATTTGCCAGTACGTAATGAGCACCACATCTAGCAGGTAAGGAATGCTTTTTTATTCATCTGATTTGATGTAATTTCTTCGCGATTATGTACCACGAGATGTACCACTGAGGGCTATATTGAACATTAAATTTTTTTCAATTATATTAGTTGACCGACGACTAGCTGTAAATTGAATTTCCCTGCTCTTTTTTTTTTAGTTCATGAAAATCTAAATTTGAACTTACCTATAAGCCAGTAAATGCAAATATCGAATATACTGGAACAACAAAATAGATCCAAACTCCATGTTCTTTTACATTTTTCTTTAAATATTTGTTATGTTTGCGATGAAGTTTTAAAATAAACCCCTTTATCATGGCCACGTTCCTTTCTTTTTAAATTTCAATGAACAATAATTAATAGTTATTTGTACAACTAGTTGTGAAAGTGATACTTTTTTTCATGAATTTGCAGTTTGACTAATGAGGGGGAACACTACCTTAAAAACCTAAGAAAATGAAAAGTGAACTAACTATAATTAGGTGCTAATTAAAAACTCTATTCCCAAATTAAATGCTCCTATTTTTTTAAAAATGATTACATGTTCTGCCAGGTTCATAATTCAGAAAAAGGAGCATTTAATTCGGGAATAGGACACTTAATTAGCACCTAATTATAGTTCACTTTTCATTTTCTTGGGGTTTTTTTGAGTTCATATGAACCTGGCAGAACATGTAATAATTTAAAAAAAAAGGAGCATTTAATTCGGGGATAGGGCACTTAATTTTGAGTTAATTAACACCTAATTATAGTTAGTTCACTTTTCTTTTTCTGGGTTTTTTGAGGTAGTGCTCTGCCGAGTTCGTATGAACCTGGCAGAACATGTAATAATTAAAAAAAAGGAGCATTTAATTCGGGAATAGGGCACTTAATTAGCACCTAATTAGCAGCTAATTAGCACCTAATTATGCAATATGTTTGATTGTGTTCTGCTGACCTTCCTCTGTTAGGTTAATGGACATGAATTATTGTATTTTTTTTTCTCTTTTTTGTCAGTGGGAATGAAAGTTTAATTCAACTTTCCTGAAAAAGAATAATATGCACTTGTACAGATGAGCCCGTACCGGCTAGGTCATTAGTCAACCTCAGCGTGTGTAGGAATAAACCTGCATAGCTATCATAATTGGAAGGGTGAAGGTGCAGCAAAGACAAAAATAACGGAATGTATGCCCGTATCAGATTTCCATGGCAAGTACTATCACTACTATGATAGACATAGATGACATATGTACATTTTTAAACAATACTGGTATTATAATATATAATAATAAAATAAAAACATTAAAAACATTAAAAGCATTAAAAACATTAAAAACATTAAAAACATTACAAAAATTAAAAACATTAATAACATTAAAAACAATAAAAGGGCCACTTTTTGTATACCTACTACCCTTCTGGTTCGTTTCTTGCGCACAACGCGTGTGAGGGGATATGTCACGGAATTTGGTATACCAATTGACACATAACCGAATCGTTTGGATTAAAAAAAATCCATTTTCAATGAACTAAACGAAAAGAGAGAAAAACTAATTATTCTTGCATCAGTAAAAGGTAATGTATTAATCGCTAAAGCTCCTCTAAAATTTCGTTCATTTCTCTTTAATTTATACAGTATTTTATCTTTTCATCCATGTAATTTTACCACCGACTAGTGTTTTGCTTCCTCGAAATTTTTATAAAATCTCCAGCTGTTTTTTGAAATGCTTTGGCACACAGTGCTCATACAACGCCTACTGCAAGAGATTTTGCACCCTATATCAACAAAGGAATTAAAAAAGGTAAAGGTTGTCATTTGGATGCATGGATGTACACTGGCGTGTACACTGTGTCTAAAACAAGGATATCTATCATGGGATCCCCGAAAACATAGAAGATACAACGATAGCCAAGTTAAAGAAAAGTTGCGCAATAAATTTTCCGA